CAAACAGTGAATAAGAAATATTAAGGATATTAGGCTTACAGAATCCTTATATATGTAAAATATACAATATGCGAAATATAATATGTACTCACGTACGATAGGACGACTATTAATACGGATCCGCGGGCGAACTTCATTATGGGACCTATGTGATTTTTCATGCAAATTGAGTTGTTCGCCTGTCATTATGCTAATAAAAGTAATGGCGCGTCGCATAGGGATAATGCAGCTGTCGTAAATGAACCGTCACGATCGGCATCGGAGGTTCATCGCGAAAGGGTGCATCGCGAATCGCGACGTCGCGACATTTTTTCGCGACCGTCGTCAGTTCGCCATGACAGGTGGCTGACAAGATTGCACGGTGAAAGTCGCTCCGGGAGCAACGCTCACGGATCCTCCTTATCGCGCACGTCCCTTCATTACACGCGGACAATACCGGGGAAGAAGTGGAAAATGTTAAATTCATTGCGAGCGAGAGCGAAAGCGAAAGATGCCGGATTTGTCTCACGATTAGTTTTCACGACCTGCGAACAACGACGTCAGGCGCGAAATGGAATTAGCCGCACGAGAAGAAACTTAGGAATTATCGAGATGAGTTTTCTCACACCGCTGCAGAATTATCTCGGAGAGATAAGGAGTTACCAGATTTCTCTCCTCGTGCAAAACTACGTTCCAAATATTTCCTAATTTTTTTCTCGCGCATTAAATTAGGAATGCACAAATATTTTTTTTTTACATACGCGCGTACGATGCTTTCTATTTGAAATTTGAATAATATTCTTTCATGTTTCGCGAAACACTGCATACATTCGTTATGTCATGCATGGAATGCATTTTCGTCAGGGCTAAACGTAACAGCTCGTCACAGTAGTTTCGATACGCGAGCATCGTACGTAGAGTTTCGTGATAGTAATTGCATTTATGTAAGATACGCGCGTTAAATTGCTCTGCCGGTGTGGCGTCGAAAATAATGACGCGGCGATGTGTGTAATTAACACGCCGTCATTGTGCTTGCGCCATTTAACCCAGGTTTTCCCCCGCTGTATTAATAATGTATAGGACTCGCGAGAATTAGAGGTCTGCGCTTCTTCTCCTCTTATTTTCCGCGTAGCGAACGTGAAAATGCAAACGGTGCACGTCAGTGACTCGTTTCTCACAAAGCGAGCGAGAGTCGTCCACTGGAGCTGTGGTGCATCGTGGGATTGACGGCGGAAACGCGTCTGCTGCCGCTCCGCGCGGCGTTACGTGCGTGCATAATGCATATCGCGTGACTCCGTCACGGATCCGGACAGTTACAACGTGTACACGCGTAACAATATCGCGTATCACGGCGAATCTCTTTCTGTTACCGACGTCTGGCATTTTAATCGAAGCCGCGCGAAAGAGAGCGAGAGAGAGAAAGAGAGAGAGAAAAAGAGAGACAAAGAGGGAAAGAAAAGGGAGCTAGAGAGAAATGGATTGCCAGGAATGCGTATCTTCGTACGAGTGAACGATAGCGTAACGAGCGGCATGCGTACTGATAAAAAAATGAAATGCTGCGCGCGTTCTGTCGAGACACCTCTACCATGCCTCTCCTGCGCGTAGAGTATGATGTGCATACTTCTAAAGCACCCTGTATATTGTATTATGACTGACTGACTAGTTACATTGTAGCGCAATTACACTATCCCTATGTTAGATCTATGCTAATGACATTGTTACGTCCGGTCGTATCTTGCAATCGCGATCGTAAAAGGAACGAAACACTTTTATAGTAAAATAAAGAATTTGTATTATGACGCGATAAACGTCCCACTAATAGAACGACACATTCAAGCCGCGAAGAAAAAAAAAGATCATGCAACTAATCATGTACAGTACGATTATACAGTTCGCAAGACCGAAAGCAATTTTTTTTTTCCTCTGTTATTCACACATCGGTCTGTTAGAATAAATGGAAGCATTTTATCTTGACACGATGCATTAGATCCTAGTTTTTCTTTGTTACAAAGATGAGTAGGTTCATAGAGAGAACAAGGCTACTGTAATGACGATTTATCGCAATTAAAATTATACTTGCTGACTACGTTGTAGCACAATTACATTATCTGCCGGTAGATCTATATTAATAACCGCTGCAATAATAACTCGTTTTTCTTTTTTAACATCCAGATCTTCTTGCTCGAGGCTTATCTAACCATGCAGCCTATTATGCGTTTGTCGAAAACGTTAAGAACGAGAATCGGTAAGCGATATTCTGGTATACTTATAAATTTACTTGCAATTAGTTTTCTATTACTCGGCCAAACAATACAATTAAATAAAAAAGAGCAGCTATTTTTTAATTACTTTAATATATATTTTCGTTCAAATCTGTTCCAACTTGTTTTTCTATCTCAAGATTACGTTGAATTTTATGAATCGGCTGTATATTCTCATAAAATGTTAGTTTCTCAACGAAAAATCAAAATCGGCCTTAAACAATGGATTTAACGAAAAGTACAATTTGTAAAACGTCACGCCGGAAAAACTACAGAACTGCGAGGTACACCCGCTGTGCTTTTACGAGCTGCAGGTTCAGCATGCCGACCAATTACACCTTCCACGGTTAGGTGGTTCCCCGTCTTAACGGGCAGTTAGTGCGAACATAAATGTCTCTGCTGCATGCTTTTAATTGCCCGCTTATAGCACCGCGCGCGATATACCTATGCGACGGTGAAAAAGGCAGTCGCCGATGTGGAAATTTGAGACGCCATGGTATGCGAAGCGAGCGATACCTGCCTCTCGGTTTATTTTCAAACGACCGGTGAAAATCATCAATCAGGTTTCGTCAAGCTTTGAGAATCCCCTAATAAATTTTAAGACGGTCTTTCTTCGGCGAGAGAGGCTCTTCAAACGTTATTCCGTTTATATACCTATTGAATCTACAGAGATTTAATACAACCACGACGTGAGGTCGCAAGATTATGTACCATTCTTTTCTCCATGCTCCAATAGTGAATAACACCGTAAATCTGGTTCGACCTTATTATAAGTCACTTAACCAGTATTTGTTTTTGATGTATGCATTGCGTGGGTGTGCGATGCTCAGATCCATCGTGAGGGCCGTGGCGGAAGACTCAACCGGATACACCCGTGCGATAACTTCTGGCTCGAGTAGAAATACTTGAATTTCGGTTATTAATTTCGTGAGGGGCGCGACGGGGTGCTACGACCCCCTCGTGCGTGTCAAACCGGGGTTGGCCCTTCATCGTGACTCGCCCTTGGGATCCCCCTGAGACAATGATCCCCCGCGGCGCTGGATGTCTCCGACGACGTCTAGGGACCCCCATCGGGACGAATGCCATAGTCTCCATTTTACTACTATAGAGACGTCAGTTATCCGTCCCATCATTTCGTATTCGAGTCTGAGGGTTTGTAGGTCTCTTTCGCCTCTTCTCCTCTCAAATTATTGGCGACTATATTGTAGTCGCTCAAGGTCACATTATTGTATAAAAAAAATGAATTTTGTTGAGAGATCGAAAAATTTAGGTAAATGCAGATCTGAAAATAATTTTGTCTTTTAAAAATGTAAAAAATGAATGTGGTTATAATTTCAAAAATATATGAAAAGAAAGAGCATAAAGAACCACAGCACAAGATGTAGTTAGAGATATTTAATTATTCTTGCATTACGAATTACAATAAAAACATTAAACGTTTCGGCCACAATCTGGCCATCTTCAGTAAAATTAATAATATTCTTAAGATGCAGAGTTACATCAAGTTGGAATCAAATTCAACACTCGTGTGTTATAATTGTAAAGATCGTGTTTGCATCAAAGCGACGCTGCTTCATATAATAATGTTATTATAGAACGTCAGAAGTCATGTAATAAAAAGTGTAGAACGAGAATTTCCAGATTCTAATTTACAATAATTTATTTAATTATTAATATCTTTTAAAACGGAGTATAAAACAAAGGAAACATTACCTGTTTTACAGCAAAATAATCGATGAATTAAAAGTATATTCATTTCACAGATAGAAATTTGTCGTGACACTATGTGTTGTTTTTTTTGTTTTAAACAATTTGATAGACAAAGATTTTATCGGATAAGCTAGTTTTTATTTAATAACCTATTTAGTCAATCAATACAAAGATTTTCTCATTTCGATCTCTAGGACAAAAATCAACTGCGTTATTATTTTTTTTAATAAACATCCGTCATTATGAAAACGAAAGTAATGAGTGCTTCGAGATGGCCATGAGTTTTGAAAGTGACGTCGAGCATTTTGTCTTTTGTTCGGACTATCAAAATAATTATGTAGAAGACTAAAACTGGTTGCTAGAATATCGAAATTTTTTACAACATTGTTCTCATCATATTTGAGTTTCTTGCATAATTATTTTGATGAACAAAATTATTTTCAGATCTGTATCTACTATATTTTTAGATATTTCAGCAAAGATCGTCATTTCCATTCTACTATGTAGTTTTTCTTCCAATAATAAAAATAAAATAATAAAAATGTTAACAAATTAATAAGATTAATTTTATCTATGTGTATTTGAACAATTAAAATAAATTTGTAATCTATATTTCCTTCGAGTGAATCTTATTTTTGAAACATCTCTCGCAATTAATGCTGCATGATATGAACAGGTGAAAAATACTCAATAATTTATACAATTAGTATACAATTTGTAGTTAATTCATATTTCGTGTTGTAAACATTGTTATTATTTTAACTAATTAGACATTTACTATTCTCAACCATTCCTCTTTCATTATTGCCGGTAGAAATGGAACAATAATCATCGATTGGATAGGCCTTTGACTTACGGGTAATTCTTCAAATGCAATGTATTTGTGTAATTGAAGAGTCGAGGAAAATTACGGATAAGTACTATTCGGCGTGTACATCGAACGATTTACGTCAATAAATGTCGAAAGATAGTTACGTCTGAACTTCGATATATCTATCGCGTATATCTAATTGTAAATATTAAAAAAAAAATCAAACAAAATATACTTACGCCCTGCAGATGGTTCGCAGCAGTGTTCCACACGAAGATTATTCGTCAATCCCAAGATGTGTACATGTAACATACAAAAATATGTACCGTTAATGGTACCGATCGAAGAAGTTTTGCCACGCAATGTTTTTTCGAATTATAAATTATTGCTACATGCAGTTTAAGGTTCTGTTTTGCCCTCGTGCGGCATACTTTTTAACGATTAGCAATGTAAACTACATGCATGCTGATATGCGCAAAACTTCTCGCCGTTCGTGAATGCACCCTGCGAGCTCTCGTGCCTACGAAGGAACCGGCGCTCCGCAATTAATTGCCGACCATCGGGGCACGGCTTTTCTCTCCCGGCTCGAACCCATTACTTTGTAGCATTTGGCTGGTAACTTAATGACCTATACTCACGGAAGTCGGATCCTGAAACAGAAAAAGCGTGAAGCCATGGGTTAGACATGCTACTCAAAATTCACAGTGCGCTACGAAACGTTTAATTTTCAATTTTAAGGATCGAGCGTAGCAACGGCGGTGGCGGCGGCGGTGGTGGCGGCAACGGCAGCGGCACTACTCCTCCCGGTAGCCAGTTTCCGCTTTATTGCTCCTTTTTAAATTGCAATCGCTTAGAAATTCCGCTCGCACCACTCTCGTCGGTTGTATTATACGTAGTTGAGTACGTGCTTACACGCAGGACGGGGGAGAAAGAGGACAGTCGACATTATGCAGGCATAATAATCGGATTGTAAATCGGCCGTGCGACGAAATAGCGTCCTGCCCCCGTGCTACGTGCATAACGCAGTTATGCACGCAGTTTCTAAGTATAAAGACGTTCGTCAATTTGTTATGCATGCCTCGGTGAGACGAAAATTGCATTTAATTCGCCATCGCTCTTACCCGGCGACCGTCCGCGGGGCTGCGGCTGCCATGGACGCTACGTTGACTACATAAATGTAGATGTTCCATTTAAAAAGCCATTTTCGCGTGTTTAGCATAATACGTAATCACGCGAACCGCCGGTCCGTCGGATCATCCCCGCCGCGTCCGTCGTCTGCGAAAGGGTTACCGCGTTGTTGATCGTAAGAAAAAAAAAAGAGAAGCAAAATATTCGTGAGCAAAAATATTCCTCGATCGACATTCTCCGAACAGTTTATTTCCCGCGCAAACGAGATTCCATTAAAATATGATACGCGAAGAATTTTGAAATTTTTTTCTATCTAATTATTATATACAGTCACAAAACAAAGCATGAATTCATGCATGCTTTTTATTCAAATTTTTTTTTAATGAAGAGATTATGATACGTCATTATTTATTTCTTCTCTTGACAATTATGTTATGATAGTTACATCACCATAATTAATGCTCGGAAAAAAAATCATCATTTTTTTCAACCTCATTTTTATGCACTAATTTATATGCATTTATTTACGCTATTTATATAATGTGCACAATTTGTTTTCTTTTTTTTTTTATTTTTCCTAATTCTCTCTGGCACGTATATTTTTTTCGTTGACAGAAAATTTTGTAGCTAACTACAGTTTCGTTTAAAAACACAGCGACACCGGTGACGCGAGCGCGTTTCAATCAATCTGCAAATAAATGGCAATTCAACGCGACGCGTCGCGTAATTCACACGATGTGCACACACCCGTTCTCGTTCCGCTCTCTTTACTCTTCGGTGGACAGTTTTACCACCTTTCGATAGTACCGGTTATCAAGCAGTTCGGTGAGAAAAACCCGTTGTCGAATCGCAAGCGAAATCACCGGTATATCGAAATCATGCATTCACCGTACAACTTCGACGATAAACGGTAAATTTTGGTTTAATTAAAACTCGATGGCTTGTATAATTCTCTAATCCCCCTTAATTCGAGACAACATGTACTGTACGTGTCGAATTATGATAAACGTGTGAGAAGAAACGCGTCGGCGCGTTTCCACCGACCGCGAGAAAACTTTCGAGAGCGCCGTTCGCGGCTAAAAGGCGGAAGACGAGAGCCGCGTGTTTCGAATCTCGATTCGACATTCCGAAGCAGCGTACAAGATAGATGGTAATACGATTATCTATGGGGATGCTCCTGCGCGAACGCAGGATATACATGCAGTTATACGCGATTGCTACCAGCGGCCGTTATGAACACAGAGTATCGCGCCAATAAACGTTTGTACGAGTTTACAGAAAAAATGAACATAAGAACGTAAATCGAGCGAGTCGAGAAAAGAGCGAAAGATAGAGAAAGAAAGAAAAAGAAAGAGAGAGAGAGAGGGGGGAAGCGGTTTAAGAGAAGAGGAGAGAAAGAGAAAGAAGGGAAGACGAGAGGATGAGGATACCTGTGGAGAGGCTCGCCGCAAGATCGCTCCGGCTCCCACTGGAATTTTAACTTTTAATAATAAAGCGAGGGAGTCTCGCGTTGTTACGTTATGATAGCGCACGCGAAGAGAAGGCAGAGGATGAAGGGAGGGAATGGAGGCGAATTAAAGGCGGTAGAAGGAAGTTCTCTCTCCGTCCTCGGCTCACCTGCGGCCGGGGCCCAGGGTAAACCGCAGCACAGGGTACCGCCGCCACCGCGTAATTGCCAAGCTCTCACTTACCGGTCGTTCGATTGATTATTATTTTTACGCGCTGCGACCCGCCTGACCCCGCCGTGAAGCGTGTGCAAGAGCGAGTCGATCGGCGATCGCCGCATTGCGCACATCTTAGATCTCGTCATTAAGGCATCGCTGCGCGCGCGGACGCGGCGGCATGCTCTTCATGGTGAACAAATCCCTGTCCTCCATATTACATCGATATTATATCGAGCGTTTTCAAAATTCTTTCTCAAACAAAAAAATTCACAACATCTTGCCAAACATTTTCATTCGAATTTGACAATTTTCTGAGAATTTTTGGACTAATTTGTTTTGAAATCTGCATGGAAAGAACAGTTTTGCTAAAGTACCTAAAAATTTAGCTACACTGAGAGAAAAATGTACTAAATTTCTAATAAATATTTGAATACAGTGCCAGTTAAATATGTACTAACAAGTTGTAAGTGTAAACATTTGTTTGATACAAGAATCATTAATTTGATTTTACTATTATTATTTTTTATTTAGCAAATATAGGTATCTGTTTCATAGATAAATGTTATTAGTACTATTGAAACGACTAGTTATTAAAATTTAGTATTTTTTTCTTTCAGTAGATACAGATTAAAAAATAATTTTGTTGGACTATCAAAATAATGACACAGAACGCTCGAGCTAATTGCTAGAATATCAACATTTCTTACAGCATCATGTTTGCAGAGTTTCCTGTAAAGATTTTGATAGTCCAACAAAATTATTTTCAGATCTGTATCCAAGTTAAATTATTAGATTATAGTAGTTCTGCATAATCGTTCATTCCATATAGATGATGATAAATAGATAATAGAGATTGTTGTTGATAGATAATAGATTGTTCAGTTATTAATTTAGTAACAGTATAACAGTTAGTCTATACTGTCTATACTTTTTATGGAATCAATCGTGCGTTTATTGTAATTTGTAACTTTACTTTTCGACGTATTTGAATCTATCCAAATCTATCGCTGATCGGTCTGTCGGTCGATCGGTCGGTCGGTCGGTGGCGAGCTATTATCTTTATATACCTCGACCCACCTGACCTTAATGTACCGATCACTGCCGCTCCTTGAATCATGTTATTAAACCGCTTGATCTTATGGACAAAGGTTGCCAGGCACGCGAGAGCGCTTCGAGAGAGCGTTCTTTTTCTCCTCCTTTTTTTTCATAATCAAAATGTGAATACACCGGAAGTCATGATCGTATAATTAAATAACAAAGTAGGAATTCCTCGGAGAGATTGGGTGGTGGATCGCGCGCGAGCTTTTTATGCGCAACAGAGTGCGGCGGTTACGCGGCTTAGTTCGATGTGGCGCAAACAAATTAAAACATCCGCCTAACGTTGTTGCATTTTAAGCGACGCTTTACCTCGCTTGCAAAGTTCGTGAATACAAACGCGAACCGGAAGAAAGCGCAGAGGTGGAAACGGTGCAACGCAACGCAATGTAATGTAAAGCAGAAAGAGAAGCGTAAGCCTCGCGATGTCTTCGTCGCACTTTTTCTTCAGCAAGAAGCACGAAGTAATTGGATTCGCAAAGGTGGAAAGCTGTAGATGCAGAAGAGAAGAAACCTGGCGAGAGAAGCCGTGTAACACTGTAGAAAAGAGGCACACAATAAGCTGTATAAATAAAAAGCTCAACGAGCGAGTCTTGCCGCTGAGCGTAAGCTCGGAGAGTTACGAGACCAAAGAAAACCTGCCCGCGTTGTACTGAATAATAATTACATTTCACTGTTTATGTACAAAGTACAGAAAATTTTCCAAAGAGAAAGAGAGAGAGAGAGAGAGAGAGAGAGAGAGAGGAGAGAGAGAGAGGAAAAAGAGAGAGAGAGAGAGCCGATAAGCTCAGTAAATAAAAATACTATTTATTTTTTGTCTTAGAGTTCCAGTTCTCTTGGAATTGTTAAGAGTCGCGACAGGTGCTACCCAAGACAATTAAAAGCTCCACTGTATTGATGATTGTGTTGATGAATGAGAGGTCACGTATCGTAATCGTGAAAAAAATATGTAAATTGAGCATAAATATCGTTAAGTAATAATGCTTGGCGAATGAATAGATCGATCATATCTCGAATGCAAATCGAATGTCCGGCTGCGATATCGACCGTGAACTTTGGGCGCGTGCACACGCACATACACGCACACGTATAGATGGTTTACTCATTTAAACTAAATTATTCCAAATAAATGAGCGTGTCCTCGGTAGTGCCTACATACCCCGGGACATTCATTCACCCTTAATTAATGATCCGCTCGAAAGTCGGCAGGATTAATCGCGTGCAATCAGATCACCGTAATTAATTACTTCGTGTTGGAAGCACTTTGTTTGCGTCGGCGAGGGCTATCTTGATGAAATGAAATTGCGCGACGTTGTGTCTGAAAATGTGCAAGTCAACGCGCGATACAAATGACTTACTCTTCGTCAAGCTTGTTTCCCTGCTTATTTCAATGCGTCTGATAATTATTGATTTCATGAACCATCGTAAAGTATTATTTTTCTCATAAATTTGTTTTAATCATTTATGATCTTTAATTAATCTTTAATTATTAAAAAAAAATAAAAGATATCCTCCCTAACATGATATGGAGGCAATTTATTCACTTGTCCTCTGACAAGCTTGCCGCTGTAATAACAACTCGAGTGATACTCTTATTGGTATTTATATTAAAACAAATATATTCCTTGATTATTATCTTTTCATGAATGCGAGTGACGACTTTTTTCTCTAACTTCCATCAATTTTCCGGGCGCGCGAAACTGCCTACGGCATGTATAAAAGGTCATATATTATATAATACAATGAGACTATGGTAATAATAT